TGGGGGGAGTCGGGTTTATAAATCTCCCTAAAGGCACATGGTTTCTGTACCTCCACTTAAGTATACCTCCTGAACAGGGAGCGGGGACCAGCCCTGGACCAGCCCTGTTCCGTGTAGCTCAGCTGACCTCCGTCTGAAAAACCCGAAGCCAACGCATCTAGAAGGTGGCTCCAGGCTCCCACCAGGATGGGAGGCTGCTGCACCTCTGGGGATTATGGGGTCCTGAGAGAACAATTGTGCCAAAAATTGGCAGCAGGGGGCATGACCCATTGTCTATGGTCAGGGGATTTTCAGGGGAGGCATTCGAGGCTTGAACTTTTTAGTCCATCTGGCTTTAACCTATCTGAGCTTTTAATCTGTTCCTCGAGGCGATCCCCGGCCCAGCACCCAGACCTCTTTCAGACACCAGGCTGAAGTGGCCCTGGGGCAAGAATGCAGGAGAGAAGCCCGAGGTGGCCACACCTTCTTTCCTTTGTAGCTTTAGCAATCCCTCCCCTTCCACCCTTCATTCTCCCTTAAAAAAAAGAATAGTACTGCGAGCTTGGCCTTCCCCACGCAGTAAAGGTGACCGGGGAATTCTGCGAGTAGGGACTGACCCCATAACTGTGAGAAGAGACCCTAAACAACTTGGGCCTTCGCATTCCTACTCTTAGGTTCAGGCGGGGGCGTTTGTTAATTAGCTTTTAGGCTTGAGCCTCACGTGCTTTGGGGAGGAGAGCCTAACCTCAAATGAAATTGTGTTTCAGCACACAGGTCTCTCACACCCTCCCCTTTTCGAAGCTGCTGTGGGATTTCCCCACAGCATTGATGACGACAAATGAACAGGCTTCGCCATGACCTCGCGTCTCACACTCGTGGATATAAGAGCTGCCCCCAAAGAGTAGGAATCCAGGCTGTTAGAACGGACGGAGCCCAGCGCCCTTTCCTGGATTCCAACCTAGCTCAGGCTCCCAGGGACCCTGTGGGGTTCTGAGCCTGGGAGCCCCTCCCTGCCTTTGGGCCCCTGCTTCCAGTCACTTCAGAAACAAAGCAAAAATGCTGGTTTAGGTACTACTTTCGCCAACTTTTTTTTTTTTTTTAGGGGATGAAGCAACCTAGCCAGGGAGCTGAACCACTTGGAAACAGTCTTCTGTAGCGTCAGCGTCAGGCCCGATTGGGCCAAGAGTCAGTGCTGCTGGGGCACACCGAATGAACCGGATTTCCGTGCAGACCTTTGTCAAAGGACTTTTCAAAGAGCCCAGAGACTCTCTGCGGTTGGGAACGGAGGATCCTTTCAATCAGCCTCCCTTTCCTTCTCAGGTCCCCAGAGGGCTTTTTGAAGTTTTGAAGGTGAGGTCCTTCCTGGGACCTTCTTGGGACCAACATCCTACCGTACTCTCCAGCCTATGCGACTCCATAGCAGTTTTAACTTCGCTGAAGGAGCCCTGGTGGCGTTGGGCTGCTAACCCAATTATCAGCAGCCATTGGAAGTCACCAACCACATTGTGGGAGGGAAACGGAGCTTTCCACTCCCTTGAAGAGTTACAGTCCAGGAAAGGGACAAGAGCAGTTCTACTCTGTCCCCTTATAGGGTTGTTAGGAGACAGAATACAATCGATGGCAGTGAGGGAGGTCCG